CCAAGATATATGCATACGTAAAGGAAATTTGACAACAAAAAGATGATCCAATTTAAAATTGGAAGGGTGCAGTGGCTCACACCTGAAATCTCTAGAGCCTGAGGCTGGAGGATCAAAAGTTTGAGTTCTGCCTGGGCAACTTCTCAAGAGTCTGTCTCAAAATTAAAAAAAAAAAAAGAAATGATAGATGAGGGCACTGGGGTTATAAAGGCCCTAGGTTTAATCTCTAGTACAAAAACGGGGCGAGGGGGAATCTAGATCAGTGGTTCTGCCATCTGCCTCACAAGTGCAAGGTTGGTTTTTGTTTTTTGTTTTTTGGTGTTTTTTGTTTTTGTTTTTGTTTCTTTGAGACAGGGTCTCACTACATAGTTGAGACTGACCTGGAACTCACTATGTAGCCCAGGCTGGTCTGGAACTCACAGCAATCCTCCTGCCTCAGCCTCCCCAGTGCTGGGATTCCAGGCGTGTGCCCCCACAACCAGCAAGGTTCTGGGTTTGATCCCCAGTACCCATCCCTCCCAAAAATGATTGTTCCTAGCCTAGCACTATTACAATGATCAAAAAGTGTAAAAGGGGCTGGGGAAGTCAATCAGTGGTAGAGCACTTCCCAAACAAGTAAGAGCCCTGTGTTTGATCCCCAGCACCAAAGGAAAACAAAAGAACGCTAACCCTTATTAATCAGATGAATGACTGAGCAAACTCATACAGTCGAATATTCTTTAGCCATACAAAGGAATGGAGTTCTGGTAATGCTTCAGACTAGTGATTTAGCCCCGTGGCACCCTGCCTGCCTCACAAGCACAAGGTCATGAGTGTTTGATCCCTGGTACCAAAAAACAAAATAACATGCTTCAACATAGGGGAACTTCAAAAATATCCTCCTTGGTAAAAACTAGTTTGTGAAGGTCATATGATTCCCTTTCTATACAAGCCAGGTGTGGTAGTGCATGCCTTCGCAGCACTAAGGAAGGAGGCTGACGCAGAAGGATCACCTTTGAGTTCAGGCCGGCCTGGGCTACATAGTTAAGACCCAGCCTCCAAATAGTAAATGAAGGGCTGGGGATTTAGTGCAGTGTTTCTGCCGCCTGCCTTGCAAGCATGAGGTCCGTAGTTCGATCCTTGGTACAAAAAAAAAAAAAAAAAAAAAAAAAAAATATTATAGAGAATAGATAATCAGATAATCTGGAAGCAGAAAACAGATTAGTGGTCGTCAGAGGCCAGGAGTGGGTGATGAATATGGAGGTTTCCTTTTAGGACAAGGGTAATGTCTTGGAATTAGACAAAAGTGCTGGTTGCACAAAAGTTCACTTTGACAAATGCCAGTGAATTGTTCACTTTAGAATGGTTCACTTCTGGTGATAGGACTTTTACCTCAAAGGGAAAACAAGTTACCTTTTTTTCACCCGTGCAAGGAATTGAACCCAACACCAAGCACGTACTAAGTTGTGCTCTGCCTGACTCAGCACCACCCCATGAGCTATCATGGTACTTCAATAATGTCGAATGTTCAATTAAACAATCCTGTGAGAAGCCGGGGGTGGTGGTGCACGCCTGTAATCCCAGCACTCAGGAGGCTGAGGCAGGAGGATGGCTGGGAGTTCGAGACCAGCCTGGGCTACATAGTGAGTTCAGGTCAGATTCAACTACATAGTGAGACCCTGTCTCAAAAAACAAAACAAAACAAAACAAAACCAAAAAACAATCCTGTGAGGAATGCTCCACGCCTGACCAGAGCTCAAAATGTTTTTCTTTCTTTGGAGACAGGGTCAGGCTGGACTCCAACCTGCAGTGATATTCCTGCCTGTCTCCCAGATACTGGGGTACCAGGCAAGCACCACCAAACCCAGCTTTCAAACTGAATTATGATTTATCATATAGACACTCCACAAGTATAGACAGGAAGTACACAGGCTTTGAGTCTGTTTGCAGGAAACCAACCAACCTCACAGGTGTCAGTGAGCGACTCAGCATTTATCACAGTACTGGGGATGGAACACAGGTCTTGCTCAACTTCTATCCCCAGCCTTCCCTTTCTCAACTTTTGTAAAGTTCTAAGATGGTATTGCTAACTCACTAAATTGCTCAGGCTGAGCTCTTAAACTTACAGTCTTCCTGCCTCAGCCTTCCAGAGTGCTGGTATTATAGGCTTGCACTACCACGCCCGGCTGGGCCATTCATTTTCTACAACTGTATTGCAGATTCCTCCAGTGTAAAATCAGTGCAAAACCACCCCGTCTTTCTCTCTCTTTCCTTTCTTTCTCCTTCCCTCTGCTCCTCTCCCCTCTCCTTTCCTTTTTTTGTACCAGGGATCAAACTAGGGACCTTACGCTTGTGAGGCAGGTGGCAGAACCACTGAGCTAAATCCTCGGCCCCATCCACTTCATCTTTTAAAGGTGTTTCTGCCTGACTGTGGTGCCTGGACAGAGCAGTGTCTCATGGGCAGGGGGCTGGGGTGCCTAACCCAAGTGGCCTCCCTGCCACCTTCCAGGTGGGCCAGGTGGATGAGGGTGGGGCACAGGTCTGCTTAGGAAGCACAACTCAGCAAGGAAGGTCAGATCCCAGGCCCACTGCTAGACCGACACTTAAGCCATGGATAGCATTCCTCAAACCTTTTGTTTCTGGTACTGGTGATTGAACTCAGGCTGAGGCAGGTGCAGTGCCATTGAGCTAAATCCCTGGCCCTCCGTGTTTTGTTTCTTTTCTTTTTCTTTTTTGATACCGGGGATTGAATTTAGGACCTTGCACTTGAGAAGCAGACGCCAGAACCACTGAGCCAAATCCCCAGCCCCCGTTTTGTTTCCCGAGGCAGGGTCTCACTATGTAATCCAGGCTGGCAATACTCCTGCCTCAGGCTCTCAGTGCTGGATGACACATGCATCATGATGTCCTGCAACATTTTTGCAAACAAGTAGTCATTACCCACTTAGTAAAATAAAGACCCACAACTCCAAATGTCTGAACAAAATAATTCATGTAGCTCCAGAGGGGACGTTTGAAAACTCATTGAAATTTAGAGCAATTAAATAAACCAGTAATATTTTCCTCAAAGGTACTGGTGATCGAACCCAGGGCCTTCACACTTAGCTACATCCCCAGTCCTTTTTAAATTTTGAGTTGCCACGTTGCTCAATTTAGGCTTGATCCTGTGGTGTGGTCCTCCTGCTTCAGCTTCCCATAATACAGTGATCACAAAACATGTGCCATCCCACCACGTTAATCTTTTCCACCCTGCATACATTCAGTGCTGTAAACATCTTTCATTTTTGCTTTAGGGAAAATGCTTTGGTCTGAGTGTGGTTAAATACTAGAGCACTTATCATGAATGAGGTTCTGGGTTCAATCCCCAGCCCAGAACAATGATAAAAGGGCCTCAAAGGGCAAATTGAACCTGTAATTAGGCATTTGTTTTTGTTTTTTAGAGACAGGATTTCACAATGTAGTTGAGATTGACCTCGAACTCACTGTGTAGCCCAGGCTGGCCTTGAACTCACAGTGACTCCTGCCTCAGCCTCTCAAGTGCTGGGATTAGAGGCGTGCGCCACCACACCCAGCTCAACCCTTTTTTTTTGTACCAGGGATCAAGCTCTGGTCCTTACGCTTGAGAAAGAGAGAGAGAGAGAGAGAGAGAGGGAGGGAGGGAGGGAGGGAGGGAGAGTCAGTCGCCAGAACCACTGAGCTAAATCCCTGGCCCAACCCTTGTTTTTTGAGACAAGGTCTCACTACACAGTTCAGGCTGGGCTCCAATTTGTGGTGATACTCCTGCTAGGTTTATAGGTATGGGCCACTACACCTTGCTCCCCAGGTCTAGTGAAAGCAACAATAAGGAAAGATAAACAGAAATGATTCAGAGGTGCCATTTTATTGCTTATCAAGGCATTTATTTCAGTGTTTAGTTCTAGCATTAACTTTTCCATAAATGTTCATCTTGCACCTCCAAGGTTCCTTGAGAACAATGCCTATACCTTAGGATATTTACGACAAACTAGCACCTGGTACACAGTAGATGCTCATCAAATCTCTCACTGCCTCCTTTCTAATTGTTTCCCACTGGCCAATGTTTCCTGGCACGTGAGACATATGCACTTCAGAGGTTTGCAAGAAAATAGACCCAGCAATCTCACTCCAAAAGGGAAGATCATACAGTTCTTCTGATTGTATGATAGTGTAATGGGTATGTGCTACCTTCAAAACATGCCAGTCTCCCTTTCTAGACATATTTATCTAAAACATGTTTACTTAATTACATATGGTTTCTAGCTATGAAAATTTGTAGGTTTTTCCATCCATGGGAGTGACATCTGGTTTTCTTTTTTAATGAATTTAAGGTTAACTTAATTCAAAGGAAAAAAAAAAACCAAACAAAACCCTGAAATAATGTGAGGTGAAACACAAATGAGTTAAACTTGAAAGTGTTGGTCACAATGGCACATGCCTTTAATCCCAGCTACTCCAAAGGCTGAGCAAAAAGGACCTCAAGTTTGAATCCAACCTGGCTAATTTAGCAACTTAGCATGGCCCTACCTCAAAATAGAAAATGAGAGGCCTGGAGATATAGCTCAGTGGGAAGTCCCTGGGCTCAATCCTTAGTACTAGGGGTAGAGAGACTGAGGATGGAGCTCAGTGCTCTCTGGGTTCAGTCCCCAGGACAACAACAAAAAAGATTCACAGAGCACTGATGATCCGGAAACAGAGCCCTAGGCAAAGTATCCTCATCCTTGAGGGTCAAGCAGGCGCTTCTATAGTGGTTTGGGTCTGTTGGATGCATCAGATCTTAGACTTCACTGCTGTCACATGACCAACACCCCATGTCAACAAGATCCCACGATGTCTGTTGAGGCTTACACATAGCAGTGTGCACACTACAAAAGCAGAGGCCCCAAAAGTCAAAGCCAAAGCCTGAAATTTAAGCCCAGCCTGGGCAACTTAACAAGACCCTTTCTCAAAATAAAAAGGGGCTGAGAATGTAGCTCAGTGCAAAAGCCCTGGGTCCAATCCCTAGTACTAAAGGGGGGAAAAAAAGCAGAGGCCGAAGTGCCTTAGGGAAACAAACAAACAAAAAAACCTGCTAAAGCAAGATATATTCCTAATATTGAATTGCTCCCAATCAGTAAGAAAAATTAAAGTGAAAAAACCAAGGGGGCACCCAGCCGCCAGTGGCTGTATGCAATAAGCCAAGTATCAAGATCTAATTAGTCAAATTTTATTACTTTAACTGTTGTCTAAAAAGACATCACTGCTTCTTGGGAGGAATGTACAATCTTTGCATCCTTCAAGCTGAGGTGGGAAGCTAAGCAACTGTGTAAAAGAAACTTGTGAGGGAGATGGCTGAGTCTCTTCACCAGAATTAGTTTACAGCATATTCCAGCTGACACACCATAGTACTGCTTACAAACCAAAGAAAGAGCAACACATTATCTAACACATCCCTTGAAACAGGGAAGGAGGTTCATTCTATGGGAATATCATCTTTGGACTCTGTATCAGTTTGTCCCACTTCAGCTTCCACGGCAGTTGGGACAGGAGCATCTTCAGTTGTCGTGCTTTCTACCCCTGCTGCCACTGTTACAGCCTCGCTTCCGGCCTCTGCAGCCTCACTTCCGGCCTCAGCAGCCTCACTTCCAGCTTTGGCCTCAAGGTTCTCCTCAGATGCTGTTCCACAGGAAGCCTCTTCCGATGGCTGGTCAGTATGCAGCTCACTGCTCGCCCCTGCCATGTCCATCAGGCCTTCTCCTTGGGCCGGCTCTTCACTCCTCTCTCCAGCCGTGGCTCCTTCTCCATCTACAGCCCTCACAGCTGCTGTAATCACCTCTGCTAAGACTTCTGCAGCCACCTCCTCGGGTGTCTCTTCCTTATCCTCACTTCCTAAATTGTCATCTCCTTCTATTTCAGGATCACCGGTTTCATTGGTGAAGGGATCTTCGCCCTGGATAAGAAACAAACCGATCAGTACAAGAAACAAGAGCTTAAAGGGCTGGGGGCTCACGTCTTTTATGACTGGTGGAGTCCACCAGAGAAACAAACCACAGCCGATGAGTTAATTCTACACATTCTCAGAGCCTACAGCTCCAAAAAAGACATCTCAGAAAAGCTTCACCAGAACTATTTTGCCCTCCAGGGCCTTGTACATGCTAGGCAAGTGCTCTACTGCTGAACCACACCACAGCTCCTCAAAATACTATTTTGTATTTTAGTTTCTTTGAAGTTCATGATTCCCATCAGGAAAATTGTCTCTACTTATGGATAAAGATTCAAAGATCAGTACTTACTTGAGGTCAAAATTATTAAACATCAGAGTGAAAATTCAAAACCAAGTCTGACTCTCAGAAACCAAAGTTATGTGCTAAGATGTTCTCTAGCCTGGAAGCACATTACATACAGCATCAGTGTAAGATCAGGAAATGTATTTTAAAATATAGTGCTTAGCCTGGGCGGGGGGTGTAGCTTGGTCACAGACTATATACTTCACATGTACAAGCCTCTTGCCTTAACACTGAGCATCTACCTTAGATTTTTTTGTTTTTTGGTACTGGGGATCAAACTCGGGTCCTTGCGCTTGCAAGGCAGGCAGTGGAACCAGAGCCCATCTACCTTGGATTTCTTTTTCTTTTCTTTTGGACAGTCTATGTAAGCCCAGGCTGACATTGAACTTGCAATCTTCCTGCCTCAGCCTGAGTAGCTGGGACTGCACGCATTAGTCAAATCTGCTTGAACTTGTTTATAAAAAGCATCTCACTATCATTTATTTGCACAGTGTATTATAGCCAGACAACCACGGTTTCTTTTTTTTCTTTTTGTACTGAGGATCAAACTCAGGTCCTCGTGCTTGCGAGGCAGCAACCATGGTTTCTTGTGGCAAGTCAGCACCACTGACAGTGATTAATCAAGCAGTATCCACGTTGACTGTGCAGGCAAGCACTGAGTCTTTGGAAACTCCCGGTTGTCACTTATCTTTGCCTGATACGTTCCAAGGTCCCCCAACTCTTCAAGGGACTTGGAAATACTACACACTGCACCGAATACAATCCCATACTCATCCTACATTTCAAGAGCTTGTCCTATCCTTCGGATTCCCAGGCACAAACCTTAAGGTATTTTTCCAGCATCTTCACTATGTGTCTGTTATTCAGAACACTCTTAGCTACATGGAGACTTGTTTTCTTGAACTGTTCAGCAGCCAACTGCAGAGGGAACCAAACATGGGCTTTTAAGAATGGCAGAGAAGAGAACAAAGCAACTAGAATTTACTGAGTTGTAACAAGTGGCAGCTATCGTCCCTCAGTGAGGCAAAGCTTTGAAATGCCAGGCTCCAAGAATGACAGAAAGAAGGTACCAAGCAGCCTTTTTTAAGAGATAGATGATACAACCAAAGGAAAAGCTGGATGATCTCTTAAGATAAATGCAGACAGGCCACTGGATAACCACTTACCGTGTGTAGAAGCAAAGCATTTAAACTATAAGTGCTACAGGCTTAGTAGGGAAAATGGACAAGGCTTTTCATTTTTTGGCCTTCCAATAATTTCAGTAAGTATGAATGTATCACCAAAGCTGCTGTATGACAGCTTACGCATGCATACATTAATCCCTTGCTTGCAGGGTACTTTTCTGCTAACTAATACTGGGAGATGGATGGACAACTATTAATATCCTTGTATATCAGTTGGTTTGTTTTGGTACCAGGAATCGAACTCAGGACCTCATGCTTGCCAGGCAGGTGCCGTGCCGCTGAGCTAAATCCCAAGCCCCCACTGTATATTAGTTGGGGAACTAAATATTGGAGATGTCTAACCAGCGGGCTGTAGAGACTGCCAGCAGACCAATCGCAGCCACACCACTCTATCATCTGTAGCTGCTTTAGTTTATCACTGGACACAGATCCCGGAGCTTGCAGAGTATAGTATAGCCACCCTTTGCTGTCTCTGCTGGGGATTGACTCTAGGAACCTCTGAGACAGAAAATCCAGACAGGCAGCAGAACCACTGAACTAAATCCCCGGCCCCTCCTTCTCTTCTGAGATAGGATCTCTATGTACTCTAGGCTCACCTCAAACTCATGATCTTTCTGCTCAACCTTGCAACTTGTAGGATTACAGCTGTGTGCCATTCTTACTCCACTTCAGATTACTTATAAGCTTAGCTGGTCATGGTGGTGCATGTACCTGTAATCCCAGCACTCAGGAGGCTGAGGCAGGAGGAACACTGTGAGTTCAAGACCAGCCTGGGGTACATAATGAGTTCCAGGTCAGTCTCAACTACATAGTGAGACCCTGTCTCAAAAAACCAAAAAACCAAAAAAAAATAAAATAAAAAATAAAAAATTTTTTTTTTACTTATAAGCTTAATACAATGTAATTCAGGAAGTCAGGTCAGTGTGGGCTACATAGTAAATTCAGGGCCAGCCTGAACTATAAAGGGAGACACTGCCTCAAAACAAACAAACAAACAAAACCCCCAAACTTAATACAATGTAAATGCTAGTTACTGCAATCCATAGTTCAGGAAATGACAAATGACAACACCCACCCCTAGATGTTTCTGATCTACTCCTCGCTCAATCTATGGATGTAGCGCTCAGGGATGAGGGCCAACTGTATCTATGATCTGAGTTAAAACGCTGCCTTGCTGACCTCTGGGATAAACAGCTTCAGGGCCATCAGCGAGTTAGAACCTAAACCAGTCCTGAAGTCCAGGCCCTCAGGCTCAGCTTACATAATCTCCAACAACTAGATTTACAGGGAACACTCAGAAGAGAATTTTAGCTATGGTATTGGATCATTTCTAAGCAATACTTTTTTTTTTTCCTAAGCAAAACATTTTTCTAAGATTGGTTCTATGTTGCCCAGGCTGGTCTTGAACTCTAGGCCTGTTTCTTAAGAAGTTGGGACCACAGGTGGGTGTCACTGAGTCTGGCTCATATCTTAATAAAACTGGAGTGGTATCAAGCAAGCCTGTGTTTTTTTCCTTGGTATGAAGAGAGGACTGGGGGCTGAGAGAGGATAAATGATGACCAGTGGAACAGACTTGATGAAATACAGCAAGAAGCCCTATAGAAGTGAGGGTTCCCAGTTAAGACTCAGACGGTTCAATACCCACTCCACCCCTGTAAGCCCAGGAATGTTCTCCCAGGCACCCACCCCACAGAAGGGACTCACCCTGCGGTTATGGTTGTGGTCCACAGAGTGCAGGTGCCGCTGGAGGAGCTGGTGCTGCGCAGGAATCAGCATGTCACAGGCCATACAGTGTGCAGCCTCAATCTTCTTGAAGAAGTGCTCCTGACCAATCCCTGTAACAGAACCCATGCGAAGGATGCCTCCCTCCTCTTCCCCAGCCAGGCCCACATTTTCTCCCTGCAACTCTGCTGTTGCTCTTTTCTTTTCTCTTCTCCCTCCCTCCTTCTCTCTCCCCCCTTTTCTTTTTTGGTACCAGGGATCGAACTCAGGACCTTATGCTTGCAAGACAGGCGACGGAACCACTGAGCTAAATCCCCAGCCCTGCTGTTGCTATTTCTTGACAGGGTCTTGCCATCTAGTTCAAGTTGGTCTTGTACTCACTATGTAGCCCAGGCTGTCTTTGAGCACTCCTGCCTCAGCCTCGAGTGCTGGGATCACAAGCATGCAGCACCACACTCAGATCTCCCTGCAACACTCTCTAAGGGTTTAGTTAGGACAGAATGTGAGACAGACACAGCCTACCTCTACATCTAGGAATTTTACATGGTAATTTTTGTCACCCTTCTAGTCCTCTCTTCCAAGGGGGAAAAACAACAGCTTGTTTGAGATCACTCTCATAAGCTCCTCATGGAGTGTGATCTCCATTAGGCTACACCTGGGGCTTTTCCCCATAGGACTTAACTTCACATTCCCTGCATCTGTGAGCCAGGAATGGAACCCAGGGCTTCATGCATACCAGGCAAGTACTCTACCACCGAGACACGTCCACAGCCCTTCTGAGCTAGGTCTTACTAATTTGTCCAGGCTAGCCTTGAACTTGTGACCTTTCTGCATAAGTAACAGAGATTAAAGGGGTGCACCACAAAGTCCAGCTGCACTGAGTTGCCAGGGTCCTGGCAATACCTTGTGATCATCCAGTACAACCCACACTACGGGATCGCATTTACCTTTGAAAGGGTCTGGCTTTGGTTTTGGGCTCTCCTTTTCCATCAACTCCTGACGCCGCTTCTCAATTTTCTTATTCCTGTTTACAATGTACTCCTACAGGGTGAGAGAGAGCACCGAGTGAAATGAGAGGACAGATCTCTGGGTGTTTCCCAATCATTCAAAGGGGTGTACAATGGGTGTAACTTCCAGAGCTCTCACTTGTCTCTCTGTGCCCGGCAGAGTTGTACAGCTGTTTTGATCTGGGAAATGTGGCTTTGACTGCATTGAAACCTCTTATTTCCCTTCCCCTTCTTTTCTCTGCAAAGCATCAGCAGGAGACGTTATAGCAAAGGCCAAGTGTCCCTTACCTGGAGGAACTCCACCGTCTTGTCAGGCAGTTTGGTGCTTATAAACCGCAGTGTCTCTTTGTGAAATTTGCTCTGCAGATGCTTCTGGATTTCTTCATCTTCAAAGCTACGAAACTTGCATACAGAACAGGCAAACTGAATCCTGGAGAAGGAAAATGGAAAAAAAAAATGGTGAGATGGGGACACAAACACATCCCAGGCTACAAATGAAAAGGAAAAGGAAATGTGATTTTTTTTTGTGGTACCAGGGATATAACTTGGGACCTTGCACTTGAGGCATGTGGCAGCAGCGAGCTGAATCCCTGGCACTCTTTGTTTTTTGGTACTGGGGATCGAATTCGGATCCTTGTACTTGCTAGGCAGGTGGCGGCACCACTGAGCTGAATTCCCAGTGGCCTCTTTGCTGTTTTTTTGAGATAAGGTCTCAATATGTAATTCAGGTTGGCCTCAAACTCAAGGTGATCCTCCTGCCTCAGTCTCCCCAGTGCTGGGATTACAGATGTGTGCCTCCAAACCTAGCCTCAGGAAATGTGACTTCTGAACTAATGCAAGACTTGTAATTTTTAGCAGGGGGACACAGTAGCAGTTACCCAAGCATCTGAAGAACAGAAACACAGCCCTGAGAAAGTATTTTAGGCAAATGACTCATGTACTAACTCAGCAACATTCCAGTCTCTGGCGCAAAGGCCCCTAACCAAATACCCTAAGGGAGTGACTTTGGTGCTGCCCACAAGGTTCTGAGTTTGATCCTAGGTACAAAAAAAAAAAAAAAAAAAAAAAA